CTCCTCCATTTTGAGTTTTTATTGCGTTTATTTATTTGTGCGGGCACGAGTGCTTGTGCACCTTGGTACATGTGTGGAGGCCAGAGGACAACTTGTGGGAGTCAGTTTTCTCCTTCTACCATGTGAGTCCTAGGTATTAAACTCAGGTTGTCAGGCTTGGTGGCAAGTGCTGAGCCTTCTCACCAGCCCATGGTGGGGCCTTCTTGAGCTAATGGGAATCCTGCAGGTGGGAGGGATCCTGGCTGCCTGGAGAAAGAAGTTTTCATTGCCAAAGCCTTCCTCTTTGTGGTGATTAGGTTTTGGCAGCTGGGGTAGGAGAGCCAGGTCCCAGATGGCCTTCCTGAATTTTACCACTCAGTATCTCAAAGGAGCTTTGGGTGAGCCAATCACAGTATGACCTAACTCCAGACCCTCAGAGCCTGGGTCTGACTTTCTGCTGATCAGCCTTTCCCACCTTCCTGCCCTGCATCCTGTTTTCTTCCTGCCCTGTTGGCCAGCCCTGGGCCAGGCCTGACCCTATCTCTGAGGCCAGCAGGATTGGCTGTGTTTCTTGACCTTTTCCTTCATTTGCTGGAGCCAGGGAGTGGGGCATTCCAGGATCATGGGACCCTCCCCCAGATCCTGCCTATTTGGAGATTCTCTGCTGCAGACCAGGGGGTGTGATCTGACAAGTTCATGTTCATATGCATGCACATGTGTGTGTATGGAACATCTCAATGACCTGTCAGGACAGATCATCAAGTACTTAGCAAGCTGCATACTTCTGGCCTTGCCCCTTGCCACCCCCACCCCAAAAGGAGACTGTTAAAAGCTACAGCTGGAGGTTGGAGAGGTGGCTCAGCAGTTAAGAGTGCTTGCTGCTCTTGCAGAGGACCTGAGATTGGTTCCTAGCACCCATGTCAGACTTCTCACACCTGCCTGTAACTCCAGCTCCAGGAGCTCCAATGCCCTCATTTGACTTCTGTGAGCACCTTCATGCATGTGTGCCACACATAAATAAATAATAAATATTTTTTTAAAAAGCTGCAGCTGGTTGTGAGGTCTGAGTGAGGGTGTGGCCTGAGCAGGGGCTTGGCAAAGCACAGTTAAGAATACTAAATTTCAGGGTCTGGAGAGATGATTCGGTGATTAAAAACACCTTCTCCTTTTGCAGAGGATCAGAGTGCAGTTCCCAGCATCCATATGATGAGTTACAACTGTCTGCAACTCCAGTTCCAGTATATCTAACATCCTCTTCTGACCTCTGAAGGCACCGGACACTCATGTTGTATACTTACATGCATGGCAGGGAAATACTCATACACAAAAAATAAGTAAATAAATAAATAGATAAATAAATGTCTTTAAAAAAGAGGGCTGGAGAGATGGCTCAGTGGTTAAGAGCACTGACTGCTCTTACAAATGACCCAGGTTAAATCTCAGCACCCATATTGTGCCTATGAACCGTCCTTAATTCCATTTCCAGGTGATCTGACACCCTCTTCTATCCTTGGACATTGCAAGACACAGGTGCATTTACATACATGCAGGCGTAACACACACATAAAATAAAATAAAGATAAAATAAAATAAAAAGAATACCAAGTACGGTGGCACACACCTTTAGTCCCAGAACTCAGGAGGCAGAGACAGGCAGATCTCTGGGAGTTCAAGGCCAGCCTGATCTGCATAGCGAGTTTCAGGCCAGCCAAGACTACCTAGTGAGACTCTGTTTTAAAAATAAAATAAATTGCTGGGCATGGTGGTACACGCCTTTAATCCTAGAGCTCAGGAGGCAGAGGCAGGCGAATCTCTGTGAGTTCAAGGTCAGCCCGGTCTACACAGTGAGTTTCAGGCCAGCTAGGGATACAGAGAGACCCTGTCTCAAAAAGACCTCCCCCAAATAAGTTAAAAAACCCAAAAATAAATAAAAAATTAAAATAAAAAATACCAAAAAACTCAACCAACCAACCATACAACCCTCCCCCCAAAAACCCCCAAACCACAACCAATAAACAAAAAATCTTGTTTCCCAGCTCAGTCTCTGTGTCCTTTGCAGCAGAGGCCTGAGCAAAATACTCTACAAAAAACAAAACAAAAAAAAACCCCAAAACAAAAAACCCAGCTTGCATTTTAGAAGCTTCCTTGGGTTTCATGGAGGCCAGGTAGGGTCACTGAGATGGGACCTGAGATATGTCCCTCCCTTCAGAAGCCTAACAGGCTCTAGCAACCCTATGTAATACCTGTAGTATCTGACCCGCCTGGTAGAGTAAGAGCTGACTACCAATGCAAGTGCCCAAGGCCCTGTGGGACCAGGAGAAGAGGTGCAAGAGAAATAGAGGAAAACCAGGTAGGATACTGCTTAATGGTAGAGTGCTTACCTAGCACAAGGCCCTAGGTCTAATCTCCAGGAAGAGAGAGAAAGACAGAAAGAAAGAACATGTGAAGGTTTGATTTCCAGAACCAGTTATAGTGGCAGAGCATTTGGGAGATTGAGGCTGGAGGATTGTGGTTTTGAGGCTAGCCTGGTCTACATAGAGTTCCACGTCAGCCTGGGCTACATGAATGGTGGTGTCAGACAGAGAGACAGAATTGTGTTCTGGAAGGGCTTTTTCTTCCACTCGCAGACTAGTCTGCTCCTTCCTCTGCTTCTAGGCTAGACCTCCAAGGCCCCTCCTAAGTCTCATTTGGATTTCAGAACTAGGTGCTGCTTGCTTGTCAGATGTTAGGTCCATTTGGTACTCAGCTGGGCTTCTGCCCCTTTAAGTGGTGGTAGTTACCTGGGTGGTGGACAAAGTATCTGAGGTGGCCCATGTCCAGAGGTGCTCCCAGTTGGGGAGCTCTGCAGGGATATCCTTTCCCACCTCATTCTGGCCCTAGGCCACCAGGACTGGGGGTATTCTACTCCTGAACCCCAGTGTGTATCAGATGGCTATTGAGGCTAAGGGCATGAGGACCAGCAAATCCCAGCCCCAGGGCCCCTCCTTTGGCCTTTGTTCCTTTACCTTCAGTGAACTCGCTCTACCAGTTCTGGGACTGAGGGAAGCTCATGCCAGACTTGTGTTTGAGGCCACAAGTTAGTCTGGAACTCCCTGGCATAGAGCAGGTTGCGGGGGGGGGGGGGAATACTTGTACCTTGGTAAAGCATACAACCCCAGCCTTGGGTTTGGAGAGCCCCCTGGCACTCAGGCCTGCCAGACCTCATGATAGCTTTAGTGTCTGCCATCTGCCTCAACTGTAAGATAAAGAAGAAGGGCAGCTGGGTTGCTGAGCTTTGAGGCAAGTGCACCTGGACCCAAGTCGGGAATGTGATGACCTGAGGTGGGGGCTGGAGCTATCCAAGTGGTAGTAAATCTATAGTCTGGACTCTGGAAGACTTCTTGGAAAAAGAAGCTTTAGAGAACAGGATTATTTTTTAAAGTGTAGATTTTGTATATAATATATAACATTTTCCTAGATTCCTTTCTGTTGCTATGAAAAAGCAAGCAAGCAAGCAAACAAACAAACCCAACACCACCACACTGACAAAAATCAACTTAGGGGAAGAAGGGCTTATTTGGCTTATACTTCCAAATCACAATCCATCATTGAGGGAAAGTCAGAGCAGGAACTCGAGGCTGGAACCATGGCTGAGCCCTGTTTTTTGGTTCATAAACAGACTCATGCTTTTTGTTTTTTAAATGTGTGTGAGTGTTTTACCTGCACGCATGTATGTAAGTGCACCTGAATCATGCAATGCCCACGGAATTCCGAAGAGGGCATTGGATCCTCTGGAACTGGAGTTATGGATGGCTGTTAGTGCCATGTGGGTGCTGGGAACCAAACTTGGGTTTTCTGCAGGAGCAGCCTGCAGCCTCTTAACCACTGAGCCATCTCTCTAGTCACACAGGCTCATGATTACCTAGGTCTCTTAAATAGCCCAGAAATACCTTCCTATGGATAGTACTGCTCACAGTGGATTGGGTCTTCCTGAATCAATTAATAATCAAGACAATCTTCCCATAGACATGTTCCCAGGTCAATCTGATCTAGAAAATCCCTCAATTCAAGGCTCTCCTCTCAAATGACTCCTGACTGTGTCAAGTTGACAGCCAATGCTAACTAGGACAAATATATTACATATTATATTTGCTGATGGTAAGGGCATTGTGTATGTAGTATAGCTTTATGGGGGGTAGCAGGCCTTCAAAGAGCTGGGAAGACCAGGCTGGCCTTGAACTCACAGAGATCCGCCTGCTTCTGCCTCCTGAGTGCTGGGATTAAAGGCATGTGCCACCATACCCAGCTTTATTTTATTTTATTATTTTTTTTTTACATAACATTGCACCTGACACATCTTCCATTCATTGCCTTTGAAAACGTGATTTTAAAAACATTTTTAACTTATGTATTTTTATTTTATGTGTATGAGTGTTTTACTTGCATGTATGTAATACCCATGGAGGCCAGAAAAGGGTATCAGATCTCCTAGAACTGGAATTACATATGGTTGTTAGCCACCATGTGAGTGCTGGGAACTGAACCTGGATCCTCTTCAAGAGCAGCCAGTGCTCTTAATTGTTGAACCATCTCTCTAGCTCTGAAATTATAATTTTGATGGCTGCCTTCTATCCTATTGCTTACATGACCTTAGCTTTTTAAGTGCGAGATGGTTAATGGTTGTCAGTTAATCCCATGTTTTCACTGTTCTCAATAATAACCATTGGCCAGGAATGGTGGTACATGCCTGTAATCACAGCTACTCGGGAGTCTGGAGCAGGAGGATCACAAGTTCAAGACCATTTTGGGCAATGTAACAAGACCCTGTCACAAAATAAAAAGTATAAAAATACTAGAGATCTCGCTCAGTGGTAGGGTCTTTCCTGGAATGTGCTAGTCCCTGGATTCAATCCCCAGTACTATACCTCTACCCCTAGAAACCCTCCTAACACAAGAAAACCAAAAAACTTTAGCAGTAAGCACCCTCATATATCTCAAAAAGACAGGGTCTCCCTGTAGCCCCAGTGGCTTGGAACTCACCATGTAGACCAGGCTGGCCTTAGTCTCACAGAGATCCACCTGCTTCTGCCTCCTGAGTGCAGGGATTAAAGGGATGTGCCACCACGCCCAGCTAGAAATCTATTTTTCAAAGATTTGTCTTTATTTGTTTTTTGTCTTTTTGAGACAGGGTCTCCCTGTAGTCCCAACTGGCCTGGAACTCCCTATGTAGACCAGGCTGGCCTTGAACTCCCAGAGATCCGCCTGCTTCTGCCTCCCAAGAAGATTTTATTTTGGCATGCGCCACCATGCCCGGCCTCCACTGGTCTTTCTTGCCTCTCTTTCCCCTTCTTAACCGTATACATGTACCTGTATACAGAAGCCAGAAGACAGTATTGGGTCCTCTGGAGCTGGAGATCCAGGGAACTAATCATGGGTCCTCTGGAAGAGCCTCAAGTTCTCTTTTTAGTGTACTTAAAACATTTTTTATTTGGTCTTTTTGAGGCAGGGGCTCCCTGTAGCCCCAGCTGGCCTGGAACTCCCTGTGTAGAGCAGGCTGGACTTGAACCCACAGAGATTCACCTGCTTCTCTGCCTCCTGAGTGCTGGGATTAAAGGTGTGCGCCACCATGCCTGGCTTTAAAAAACTAGGGTATTTTTTTTGTTGTTGTTGTCTTTTTTGAGACAGGGTCTCCCTGTAGTCCCAACTGGCCTGGAACTCCCTATGTAGACCAGGCCGGCCTTGAACTCACAGAGATCCACGTGCCTCTGCCTCCCGAGTGCTGGGATTAAAGGCGTGCGCAACTACGCCCACCTAAAAAATAGTTTTTATCATTTTTTTTCTACATGTATGAGTGCAATGCCTGCATGCAGGTAGGTGCACCCATGCCCTGCAATGCCTGTGGAGGTCAGAAGAGGGTGTCAGATCCCCTGGAACTGGAGCCACAAATGGTTGTCAGCCACCATGTGGGTGCTGGGAATTGAACTTGGGTCCTCTGTAAGAGCAGTCAGTGCTCCCAACCGCTAAGCCATCTCTCTAGCTCCGCAGTATACTTATTTTGAAAAATATTTCATTTATTTATATTATGTGTGTGAGTATTTTGCCTGCATGTATGTAAGTGTACCATGTACATGCAATGTCTATGGAGGCCAGAAAGGGGATCAGATCACCTGGGACTGGAGTTAAAGTTGGGTGTTAGCCACCATGAATGTGCTGGGAACTAAATCCAGATCCTCTGCAAGAGCAGCCAGTGCTCTTAACTACTGAGCCATTTCTCCAGCCTCAGTGGGCATGTATGTGTTTAAGGCATGCTGCCTCAATAGGGCCTTATTACATTAGGACTTTATTACATTTTTAAAAATGTGTGTGCGTGTGTGTGTGTGTGTGTGTGTGTGTGTACACATGTGCACACACAAGGCATTTTTGTTTTTGAGACAGGGTCTCTTGTACTCCAGGCTGGCCTTGAACTCAGTCAAAACATAGTTGAGGATGACCTTGAACTTCTGATCCTCTCAAGTGCTAGGATTACAGGACTTTGTCACTACCCCTAGCTTATGCAGTGCTGGAGATCTACTCCTGGGCTATGTGCACGCTAGGCAAGCAGTCTACCAACAGAGTTACACTCTTAGTCCTAAGGCATATTTAAGATCTTAGCTGAGTGCAAGAAGATATAGCTCAATGGTAGAGCACTTGACCAGCCTGTATGAGGTCCTGGGGTCAATCCCTAGTAGCAGAGGATATTGTCTGACTATTGAGCTTATGTTGAGACTCGATCCAGCAGGCAGTAGGGAACCCCCAAGGCCTTTGTGTGCAGGAAGGAGCCTTGGCTTTGGCCCTGGGCTCTGGTGCATGGGTTAGAGGGCAGTGTAGAGTCAGTACTGAGGGATTTGGAGGCAAGAGCTCTGAGAGTTGACTGAGCCTGAAGCATGGACTGGCAGTGCGTCCTAAGAGGATCATGTGTGGGTTGGTCAGCGAGATCACTGAGTTTTGCACTGGGTGGGCATGCTGGGAGAGGATGGATTGAGAGGACAGTGTTGATGACTGTGAATGGAGCACATATATACCTTCTGTTATCTTCCTATAGGGAGTGGGCATACAGCCATGGTCAAGGTCCCTGGGCACTTGACCTAGGAGTGTGGCTTGGAGGTGTGTACGGGTGGAGAAGTAAGCCTTTCTGTCAGAGAAAGAAGGGGGCTTATCTAGGAATACACAGACCCTCAGGTACTCAGTTGGACTCAGTGCCCAACTGACCTTTGACCATTTGCAGTGAATATGGCTTACCTGACTGCTGGCCATGTTTTGGGGCAGCTGAATAATACCTCTCACCCACATTGGGTGATTCCCAGATGCTGGCTAAACTGGAGGACAGAGGCTGTGGATTTCCTCCTGGGGTCTCTCTGTGGTTTTATTGGTTGTGTAACTCTGGACATTGGATTCCACTTTAGCCCGTGGAAGCCACCGATGATGCCTTTTGGGACCAGTTCTGGGCAGACACAGCAACCTCTGTGCAAGATGTCTTTGCGTTGGTGCCAGCAGCAGAGATCCGGGCTGTGCGGGAGGAGTCGCCCTCTAACCTGGCCACCCTGTGCTACAAGGTAAGGGCTATCTGGCCCCTCACTGCTGCTCCTACCCTCTCCATGGTGGCAGAGCCCAGTCTGCAGTGGGACAGGGCATGAGCTTGGAACATCTCACCCCCAGGTTCCAGAGGCCTTGAGGCTTCATCCAGTCTATTTGCCTTAAGTTCTCCCTGATAGAAGTAAAGGGACAGGACCATGGTACCCACCATTTATGAGGGCTGCACCTGGCTTTTCCACACACCAACTCACTTTTTTTTTTCCCTGTGAGGTGCTGCTGTTATCTTTACATTACAAATGAGGGCTATTTAAATTATGTATGTATGTATGTATGTATGTATGTACGTATGTATGTATGTATATATTTATTTGTATGAGTATTTTCCCTGCATTTATGGAAGCATACCATGTACATGCAATGCCTGTGGAAGCCAGAAGAGAGCTTCAGATTCCCTGGAACTGGAGTTGCAGACAGTTGTTAGATGTCATTGTGGGTGCTGGAAACCAAACCCTGGTCCTTTGCAAGAGCAGCCAATGCTTTAGCCATTAAGCCATCTCTTCAAGCTGAGGTCTATTTTTAAAAAAAAAAAAACTTTTAAAAACAATTTTTAAAATTTTATTATTTTAAAAAATATTTATTATTTTTATTTTATGTGTATGCGTGTATTGCCGGCATGTAGGTAAGTACACCTGTGTCGTGCAGTGCCCAAGGAGGACAGAAGAGACAGTCGGATCCCCTGAAACTGGAGTTACAGACAGTTGTTAGCTGCCATGTGGGTGCTGGATTTGAACCCGGGTCTTCTGCAAGAACAGTCAGTGTTCCTAACTGCTGAGCCAACTCTCCAGCCCTGTTATTTATTATTTTTATTTTATGTGTATATTGCCTGCACATCTGTGAGTGCACCCGTGTTGTGCAATGCTACGGAGGTCAGAAGAAAGTGTCGGATTTCCTTGGAACTGGAGTTAACAACGGTTCATAGGCATTGTGTGGGGGCTGGGAATCGAATCCGGCTTCTCTTCAAGAGCAGTCAGTGCTCTTAGCCTCTGGGCCATCTCTCCAGTCCCAAAAAGTATTTTAAAGTAGGTGTAAACACAAGGATTAGGAGATAAAGCAGCTCTCAGAAGAAAGTAAGACATACCAAGTGTGGGTGCCCAAGCCCCAAGGGAAAGAGGCCACAGATGAGGTCTTGGCCATCCAGTGGGCCGGGCTCTGCTTTCCTGATGTGCTGGTCTGGTCTGGCTCACATTCCAGGCCCCCTGAGCAGGCTTACCGCTGTGCAGTACTTCTACCTCTCCCTCACTTCAGCCTGAGTCACCCTCCAACCCCAAGGGCCCCCTCACATGCCCCTCTTGCTCCCTGTCCCCACAGGCGGTGGAGAAGTTGGTGCAAGGAGCAGAGAGTGGCTGCCACTCAGAGAAGGAGAAGCAGGTGGTCCTGAACTGCAGCCGGCTGCTCACCCGAGTGCTGCCCTACATCTTCGAGGACCCAGACTGGAGGGGCTTCTTCTGGTCCACAGTGCCCGGGGCAGGGCGTGGAGGGGTCTGTGGTTCTGGCAAGGGCGGGGTGGGAGGACCCTGGCAGGGCAATCCGATCCAGGTCTTTTCTGAGCTTTGGGAAGTGTGGGGTGGGGATTGGAGATGGGTGCCACTGAGGAATGGCGTCAGTACCAGCTTCTTAGGCCCTGAGTTCCTCTGTCAAGGGGCCTCTGTCCTCTATAGGCTGGAGCAGAGGTGGCTCTGCAGGGATAGGGTTGTCTTCAGAAGGTCTAGAGGGACTGTGCTGTCCTCTCCCCTACCCCTTCTACTGGGGGTCTATCTCCAGGCAAGGGCCGAAGGGTGAGGCCTCCTGAGACCCTTGAGGTTGGTGCCTGGCACCCCTGACGGTATGGAGGGTTCCTCACTGCTCCCAGTGCCTGTCCTTGCTCTGCCCTCTTCTGGCTAAGGGAGGTTTGGGGTGAGCAGAAATCCATTTCCTCTTTCGTTCCACTTCTTCCTCCCTCCCTCCCTCCCTCTGTTCATGGATGCTTGCTGAGACTCAGTCCCTATCCTCCACACTTCTAAGTTCTGGGCTACCTCCGCCTGGCCAGCCCCCACTGAGTAGCCTGCATCTTCAGCAGGGGGAGGAGGAGGATGAGAATGCCCGGCCCCTGGCTGAGTCCCTGCTTCTGGCCATTGCTGATTTGCTCTTCTGTCCAGACTTCACAGTTCAGAGCCATCGGAGGAGCACTGTGGTAAGATTACCTCCCTCCTCCAGCCAGGGTCCTGTGTTGGGGTCCACAATAATTAAGGTTCCCCTAGGCAGATGCAGTGTACAGGGGCAGGGGTGCTCTGGAGAGCAAGGCTGCCAGACACATATGTCCTGGGTGGGGTCATCAGTGGTATAGCTGGAGAGGAGCCAGCTGGTGCCCAGCCTGCTCGTCTGCAGTGTACAAGCACCTATTGTATTTTGAGGTGGGAGGAGCACGGGGCTGGGACCAGGAAGCCTGCCGTCTGCCCAGGGACTCCACCATGAATGTTTTCTGCCCCTCAGCCTGCCACACCCCAATCCCTGACCTTCCCTTCCTCCTCTCCCTGCCTCAAACTGGACTCAGCAAGTAAAAGAAGCAATTTAAGATTGAAGAATGAGCTTTTAAGAGATGCAACAACATTCGTTTCTTTCTTCCTACATCAGGACTTAGGGCATTGAGGGGAAGTCTTTAGGAGACTACGGGGTGGATGTTGCTGCAACCAGGGACAGTGGGAGGCGTGGGTAGGTTGGGTCTGCCTCACGTTGCTATTTTTGTGACCCTTCTCCCCCATCATGTGATTGCTCCCCATTCCCAGGACTCAGCAGAAGATGTCCACTCCCTGGACAGCTGTGAATACATCTGGGAGGCTGGCGTGGGCTTTGCTCACTCCCCCCAGCCTAACTACGTTCACGACATGAACCGGTGAGCTGGAGCCGGGCTGCGCTTTGCCTAGCTCAGAGATGCACAGTCTTCCAAGGAAATCCTGCCCCATTGCCTTACAGGGAGGAAAAAGCGTCATTCTTTTTCCATGGACTTGGGCCAGGGTGGTGGGCAGGGTTGGCAGGACCCTCCTAGAGGGGGACTAGTGTCCTAATGTACTCTTCCCTTACCCCTACAGGATGGAGCTGCTGAAACTACTGTTGACGTGCTTCTCAGAGGCCATGTACTTGCCACCATCTCCAGAAAGTGGCAGCACCAACCCATGGGTTCAATTCTTTTGTTCCACAGAGAACAGGTGAGGAGCCCTGATCTTTATTCTAGGTCTAGTCACTCATAGATCAGTGCTAGACAGCCCTGTAGGTTTTAATTGAGGGAAGGTGCTGCCCTCTGGTGGCAGGGAATACTAACTTAACCACACCTTAAACCAGAAAAGCTCCAACACCTCCTTGTAGCTCTGGGGCCCTTGGGTGACCCAGCTCCAACTGTTCCATCTAGAACCAAATTGTTCAATAGGAACATAGTGTAAGGGACTTGAGATGTGTCTCAGTTTGTGGAGTACTTGCCTAGCATGCATGGAGCCCTGGGTTTGAGCCCTGGCACCCCATCAACTGGGCACTGGTTGTGCACAGCTGTAATCCCAACACTTTGGAGTTGGAGGCAGGAGAATCAGAAGTTCAAGGTCATTCTTGGCTATCTAGTGAGTTTGAGGCTAGCCTAGGGATACATGAGACCCTGTCTCAAAACAAGAATCAGCCAAACAACAACAACAAAACACAGTAAAGATTAATTTATATATTTCCTTTAACTCAAGATGTAAAAACATTAGCATTTAACTTGTAATAAACATGTAAACATCGAGGCCTTTTAAATCCATTTCCCCACACTTGTTTTTCAAAATCCAGTGTATAATTTACACTTCCAGCACATTTCAACAGGACTACCACTCAGTAGCTGCATGTAGCTTTGTAATGATAGATGGGGAAGCCTGACCTATGTGGGGCACTTATGGAATATGGGGACTTAGCAGTACTTGTGGATATCACATAATCATCAATGAGACAGAGTATCTGAAGCATACCCTCCCGCTGTGTACACCTGTGCTGGTGACACAGGTATCCTAAGGCTGCCAACCCTCTGACCCCTATGTGCCACAACCTGCCTCTTCCTCCTCTGGGTTTTGCTGACTTCCTACCTGACTGTTGTTTTGTCTTTGAAAGAGAAGGGCACCCGTGACCCCCAACACCAGCCACAGTCAGAGGCTGTTCAGAGTTTCCTCTCACAGCCTTATCAGTCAAACTGCCACCCTTTGTCACTCACTTAACCTCTCTGGGTCTCAGTTTCCTTACCAGTAAGATGAGGAGCTTGAACTCTGACATCTTAGGGATCTGATTCGAGCCATGTTGTGGCCTGGGAGCTGGGGGATGGAGCTGGGCCTGAGGAGAAGCTGCCTTCTCTGAAGACCAAATGTCTGCCCCTGGGAACCTAAGCACATGCGCTCCACAAGGAGACCCGCACCCAAAGCTGTTGGCACTCCTGCTAATAGTTCCCTCTGCTGTTGGCCCAGCCTGGCCCTGCTTAGAGTTGGGCACATGCAGAGATGAGGAGGGTCCTTTCTCCTCATGAGAGACAAGCTCATGCTTCTGCTCCTTGGGTCCCAGCCCACATCCTGACCCTGATGCTTGTTGAATGAGGAGGTAGCTCAGCGACTCCTCTGTGGCTGGATGGGTGGTGGGAGGGCTGGATGGAGGAAGCTTCCCTGCAGCTCTGCCCTCTTCCCTGCAGACACGCACTGCCCCTCTTCACCTCCCTCCTCAACACCGTGTGTGCCTATGACCCTGTGGGCTACGGGATCCCCTACAATCACCTGCTCTTCTCCGACTACCGGGAGCCCCTAGTGGAGGAGGCTGCTCAAGTGCTCATTGTCACCTTGGACCATGACAGTGCCACTAGCACCAGCCCCACCGTGGATGGCACCACCACGGGCACTGCCATGGATGATGCTGATGTAAGGATGGGAAGGAAGGAAGGGTGTGGGCAGATGGCATCTCCTTTAGTAGAGGCCCTGGGCAGGGGACACATGGGAGGCATCTCATGGTGTGCCTGGGAGTGTCTGACCATGGAAGGGAAACTGCTTTTGTTACTTGGGCTGGGGTAGGGACCAGAGTGAGGGACCTGCTCACTGTGGCTCCTTCCCTTGGCAGCCCCCAGGGCCTGAAAACCTGTTTGTGAACTACCTGTCCCGCATCCATCGGGAGGAGGTGAGTCAGGCTCAACTTGTATATTCCTTTAAAAAATACATATTTTATTTATTATTTTTATTTTATGCATACGAGTGTATTGCCTGTGTGCATGTAAGTACACTTGTGTTGTGCAGTGCTCGAAGAGGCTAGACAGAGGGTCAGAGCCCCTGGAACTGGAGTTGTGGGTGGTTGTTTGCTGCCAAATGGGTCCTGGGAACTGAATCTGGGTCCTCTGCAAGAGCAGCCAGTACTCTACTGCTGAGCTATCTCTCCACCCCCTCCTTTTGAAAGACAAATTTAGCTGGGCATGGTGGCGCATGCCTTTAATCCCAGCACTCAAGAGGCAGAGGCAGGCGGATCTCTGTGAGTTCAAGGCCAGCCTGGTCTACATAGTAAGTTCCAGGACAGCTGGGGCTACAAGGAGACCCTGTCTCAAAAAGACCAAAAAAAAAAAACCCAAAATAACCCAAACCAAATTTATATTTATGTGTATGAATCTTTTGTCCCAATGTATGTAAGTGCACCTGTGTATGCAATACCTGCGGAGGCCAGAATTGGAGTTACAAATGGTTGTTAGCCACTATGTGGGTAGTGGGAACTGAACCTGGGTCCTCTGTAAGGGTAGTGCTCTTAACTGTTGAACTCCAGCCCTAGCTCATGGATTCTTACCACTTTCCACAATAACTAGGGTTTTATGGGGGTGGAGGAATCTTGCTCTCTGCACGAAGGAACATGGCCACCATAAATGAAATCGTGATGGTAATGCTTTGGAGTTTGGAGAATTAGGAAGGATTGATAAGAACTGGGGATGTGGCTCAGTTGGTAGAGCACTCGCCTAGCACGCACAAAACTCTGAGTTCAATCTCCAGTACTTTGTCAACTACGCTTGGTGGTACATGCCTGTAGTCCCAGCACTTAGGAGGCAGACAGGAGAATCAGAAGTTCAGTGTTTTTTGGCTAGCCTGGGCTACAGGAGACCCGATCTAAAATATTAAATAAAGGAAAGCAAAGAAAGGATAATCGTTTCAATTGGGTGAGGGTAACCAAGAAGACCCCTTGAAGGGAGAGGCTGTGATGAGATTCAGAGAAGGGAGGACAACAGGGAACAGTGGACTTAATGTCCCGGCACACCAAAATTCATGTGTTTTGTGGTAGAGGGGAGGTGCTGGAGCTCCCTGGACCCTAACTTCTGGTGCTGAATGATGGGGTTCCCATCTATAAAGATCAAAGCAGAGCACAGCCCAGCTTGTGGTGGATGCTCTGTGAATGACAGCTCTATGAGAACCAGGGGATGCTTCTCCTGTGTGATGGATGGTGGGAGGAATGTTCAGTATTTGGGGGTGGGGCAGAAGGATGACATCTGCCAACAGGGAATCCAAGTAGACAGGGGCCTGGTTCAGAGTCCATACAGGGGTCACCAGATCTGTAGCCTTTCACAGGGCGCCCTATGATCTGCTGGAGGGGCAGGGGGCTCAGCTTTCCAGGGAACAACTAGTAATGTCCTTTGAGTTCTGGAGATGAAGAGCATTGTGGGAGAGCAAGCCATTCATAGGGGGCCCTGGGCCAGGTATCCAGGTGGGAAGCTGGGATAAACAGGACCCCTGCTCTGCCTTCCCTACCCTTACCCTCAGGACTTCCAGTTCATCCTCAAGGGTATAGCCCGGCTGCTGTCCAACCCCCTGCTCCAGACCTACCTACCTAACTCCACCAAGAAAATCCAGTTCCATCAGGAGTTGCTGGTTCTCTTCTGGAAGCTCTGTGACTTTAACAAGGTCGGTAGCCTAGGGTCCAGCCTGAGGGCAATGGACATGGAGGGACATGAAGGGGGCTGATGGGACACACAGTTGGGACATCTAGGTCTCCCCAGCCTGGGGGAGGGTGGGGCAGAGCCAGACCTCCCAGCTTACCTGTCTCCTTTCTCACCCCCAGAAATTCCTCTTTTTTGTGCTGAAGAGCAGTGATGTGTTGGACATCCTGGTCCCCATCCTCTACTTTCTCAATGATGCCCGGGCAGATCAGTGTAAGATAGTGGTGGGTGTATGATGCTGGGCTACAATGGGGTCTTGGCTTGGGTCGTCCATACTGGTCCAGCAGTCTTTCCTGCTTCCCAGAAGCTCAGGCCTGATGCCTTAACCACCCAGGAAGGTCTCCTTCCAGCTCCTGAAGATGGGCCCCTGCTTTGGGCTCCCCCTCCCTTCCCTGTCCTATGTGACCCCTCTTGTGCTGTGTGCCCCAGCACGGGTGGGCCTGATGCACATCGGGGTCTTCATCTTGCTGCTTCTGAGCGGGGAGAGGAACTTCGGGGTGCGGCTGAACAAGCCCTACTCAGTGCGAGTGCCCATGGACATCCCTGTCTTCACTGGCACCCATGCTGATTTGCTCATTGTGGTGAGAAGCTGTGCACGACCAGCCCTGGGGCATGGGGGTGATGTCCTCTTGGCTAAATCTGGAGATGGTAGGTACCCTACATCATCCCTCCCCACCCTCACTCTGCACAGGTATTCCACAAGATCATCACCAGTGGCCACCAGCGGCTACAACCTCTCTTTGACTGCCTGCTCACCATCGTGGTCAACGGTAGGGGCCTGGAGCCAGCCTTCCACATACTCACCAGCAGGTGGCATTAGGCCACAGGCTGACTAATACATTTTTATCCAATCCACTAAATTCAAAATACTGACACCTACTACATAGAAGAAACTATAAAAAATTCTGAGGTATTTTATATTCTGCTTTACAGCCAGTCTTCAAAGTTTTTTTTTTTTTTTTTGTGTGTGTGTGTGTGTGTGTGTGTGTGTGTGTGTTTCGTGCATGCAGGACATCTAAGTTAGGACTACCCGTGTTCAGGAACTTAATGTTCACACATGGCTGGCAGGTATTTATTGGGCAGCATAGATTTGGGCTGTTGGAGTCACAGTGTGGGGATGTCAAAGCCATCAGCAAGGGCTGAAGGCTGCTGTCTGGGAGCAGAAGCAAGAGGCTCATGCTGGCTGGGGTTCGGGATTCAGCAAGGTGGGTGGCAGCAGACTGGGGGAAGCAACTAGTGTGGACATCTTTTGGACAGCGTGGTTCACTGCCTGCTGTAGTCTCCTTTCTGTGGCTATGACAAATACTCTGACCGAAAGCAACTTAGGGGAGGAAATGGTTTATTTGGCTTATATAATTCTAAGTTACAGTCCATTATTGAAGGGAAATTAAGACAGGAATTCAAGCATCTAGCCATAGCACATCTACAGTCAGCAACAGAGAAAAACAAATAGATCCTTGCTTGCTGGTTGGCTGCGTATGCTCAGGTAGCTTTTTCTACTCTTCCTCTTTAGGGCCCAGTGTAGGGCATGGGGCCATCCACAGTGGCTTGGGTCTTCTGTCCTCAATTAATAGCAAGTCAACTCCCCCATGGACCAACCTGATGTAGATAATTCCTCATTTAGGCTGGCTTTCTAGGTGACTCTAGGTTGTATTAAGTTGACAGTAAAAACTAACCAGGACACTGCCCATGGTCTGGTTTGGACTCCTGAGGCCCTGAGGCCTCTACCTGGGTTATGAGTTCTGTGCTTTCCCTTAGTTGAGTCTGTACTTTCCCTTAGCTGAGTGCTTGGCTCATTGGCTGCATTCCATATATTTTAGCTGAGCACCAATAAGCGGGGCCAGCTCTGAGAATACCTTTATGAACAACATCGTCCCTGTCCCTACCCTCTGAGGCCCTTGGTCTAGAAGCCTAGAAAGTACACAGATTGAGCTGTGGTTTTCTCTTTGGTTCCTGTTCAGGAAGCTGTGTTGAGGAATAAATATCTAATGCTGTTCTAGAAAGATGTAAAGTCCCAAGTTTGCATCTCTGCCCAGTCATTTTATTACTGATGAACTTGCACCAAGCTTATAACCCTCTCTAAGCCTCAGTTCCTTATCTACAATCTTGTCCCGGTCCCTCTTCCCTCTGGGGTGGGGCGATGCCTGGGAGAGATGAGCTGGGTATGACTTTGAGGTTGAGGGAGAGAGTGGAGACTCATAGTCTCTTGGGGCTCTGCAGGTAGCTGGGGGCAGAGGGGCCTGGGAGTTGAAGTGTGTTGTTTTGTCAGCCCTGGCCTGGGATGTACAGGGTGGCTGGGGGTGGGGGCTAGAACACCCGGCTCCTCCCTTGCAGTGTCACCCTACCTCAAGAGCCTGTCCATGGTGACTGCCAACAAGCTGCTACACCTGCTGGAGGCTTTCTCTACTACTTGGTTCCTTTTCTCATCTGCCCAGAACCACCACCTGGTCTTCTTCCTCCTGGAGGTCTTCAACAACATCATCCAGTACCAGTTTGATGGTGAGGCACTGACCTGAGCCCCTGGCTTGGTGTTCTGTCTAAGGAAGCCCCAGCCCAGGACTCCTGCCTCTCAGTTCATTCCACCTGTGTGCACGTATCAAGCACCTGCCGTGTACCTTGGGTACAGGGGATGTAGTGGGGGAACGAAGATGTATTTTGTTCCATGAGGAACTGGGCAGAGACCCTGCATCACCAGTCAGAGTCCATCTGCATCTGGTGACAGGGAAGCTCAGAGTCGTAAGACACTGGTAGCTGTCACAGCAACTACCTCACCCAGTGTCACAGATTCAAATTCAGGCCTTGCTTCTCCTTAGCTCTGCAGCAGTGGGAATATCGGTTCTCTGGGCCTCAGTTTCCTCATCTGTAATAAGGTCATAAAAATAGTGCTGAGGGTCCCTCTTCTGTAGGGTACTACCTGGGAGGATTAAGTAAAATAACTCACAAGAAGCACTTGGCACAGGGTCTAGAACTCAAATATTATTATTGTTATTATTATAGCAATTGTTACTATTTCCAAAAGAAGCAAAATTTGAATGATGAGTGAGAGTAAGGTAAACAAACGAGCATCGTGGGGCAGGGGACATGTGCAAAGGTCCTGGGGTGGGATGTTGGACTAAAAGCAGTATGGTGTGACACAGGCTTAGAGAGGTAGTTGGGACACTGAAGGCCCTGGGGAGCCTTTGCATCTTGCTTGATAACAAAGTTTCATGGGAACTCACAGGTAGGTGGTGGAGGACAGGTACATACACTGTCCTCCTAGACTTCTCCCTGGCTCAATGAGAGGGTCACACATTTAATGTCAGCTTAGGAGAGTGAGTACAAGGCTCAGACTGCCCCACTGTGCCTGGTGTAAACCCCATTAGTGCTCATTGCAAGGGGATATGAAGGAACCAGAAAAGGGGTGCTGTGGGAGCTCAGGCCAGAGCTGTTTTCCTACAGCTTAACTTGGAGCATCCCTAACAGCCTAAGATCCAGGCATCCTCACAGCCTAATATCTGGGGATCCCCCTAGTCTAACAACTGAGCGTCCCTACAGCCTAACATAGGGGTATTGGTACGGATGCACACACATCTGGGTAGGTCCTGCCCTAGCTCCCTCTCTATGCACCCTGTTCCTACCCCCAGGGAAGATACCCTCCTGTTTTGCAAACCTCCTCCTTGTCCAGGAAGCCAACCCAGATGTGGGGTGGGAGGCAGAGTAGGTCTCTGAGGCTAGGTGTGCTCCTCCTACAGGTAACTCCAACCTGGTCTATGCCATCATCCGCAAACGTGGTGTCTTCCACCAGCTGGCCAACCTGCCCACTGACCCACCTTCCATCCACAAGGCGCTGCAACGTCGCAGGCGGACACCTGAGCCCCTGTCCCGTTCCGGTTCACAGGAGGGTGCCTCCATGGAGGGCTCCCGCCCAGCTGCACCTGCAGAGCCAGGCACCCTCAAGACCAGTCTGGTGGCCACCCCAGGTCTGGATGCTAGCAGGCCCAAAGAGTGTGTGACTCGGGAACAACATGGGTGTGGTCTCTGAGGTGTTATTTCTGGTTGGGAAACTGAGGGGAGGGGGTTGAACAGCAGGTGAGGGTGGAGATATTGGGGGACCTAGAAGAGTAGCTTGGTAGGGACAGGGCTCAGAGCTGAGAGTGGCTCTGGGAGGGGAGGTTAATGGTGCCTCTGTCGTGAGTGGGGAGCACATAGCCTCATGGGGGGGGTCAAGCCAGAAGAGGTATGATGGCATGGCCCTCTCTCCCTCCTGTGTCCCACCCAGGCATCGACAAGCTGACGGAGAAGTCCCAGGTGTCAGAGGATGGCACCTTAAGGTCTCTGGAGCCCGAGTCCCAGCAAAGCTCAGCGGAAGGCAGCCCGTCCGAGGGGGTGGGTACTGGGAACACCTGGGGTGGGGGATGATGTGGATGTCACCTCATTTTTCTCCCTGAACTCTGAAGTATAGGTGTGAGCCAGGCCAGGCCACTCTGAGGTTACCTGTAGTAGAACAAGCATGTGTACCCAGGGTGTCAGGGATGGTACTGCTGAGTCTGGGGGAGGGGGGCATTGACAGACTTCCTCTTTATTTTCTGGTCACAGCAAAGACCTTGACCTTCAGCTTCCTTATCCATCAGCCTTATCTGAGACCGGCCTTTACCCAGCCTGTCCTGTCAGCCCCTGGCCCTAAACCTGTCACTAGCCTGGGCTGGGCTGGGCCTTGGGCCCAGGGCAAAGGGTGCAGGGCTGGACCCGTCGGAAGTAAACCTCCCCCTGGGGGGCCAGTGGAGACACCTCGATGCTCTTTGGCCACCCCCTGTACCCATTACTTCCCTGGTGACTTCCATTCTTTTCTGGGGACCAGGAGCCCAGCCAGGGATGGAGGGAACAGCGGCGACTATCCAGCGCATCGGCCAGTGGCCAGTGGAGCCCAACATCAGATTGGGTGAGAGACATACATTGGAGGACTGGGGAGCTGGGGTTTTGGCAGATAGTACTGAGTGAGGCCTTCCAGGGCTCCAGCTCAGGAAAGACTGGGGTATAAATGTCACCAGAGGCCTCTGGCCTGGGCACCAGGCTCAGGACAGCCCTTCCAGATGCATTATCATCCCTCATGTCTGACCTCTCTGCTCGGCCTCCCCCCTGTCCACATGTTCTGCTGTGTTCCCAGCAGCTGCCCACAGGACTGATTCCCTTTGTAAATCACCCTTGCTGAGTTCTTCCCGGAATCACCTCCACTCCCTGTGTGTTTTCTGAGAGCCCCATTGATTGCTATGGATGGGGATAATAAACATCCTTATATTCGTGCCATCCAGCCATTGTGAGGATTAAAGGGGGCAGACTCCCGGAAGGCACGAGGCACAGCAGCTGGCCTGCAGTACTGCTCAATGTGGCCTGGCCTCTTCCCATTAGCAACAGTTCCCCTTCACAGGCCCTGCTCGGTGCAGGCCAGGCTGTGAAGAGCATCATGCTTCCTGCCCCAGGGAGCCCACGGCTCTGGGTCAAGGTCAGGCCTGTCCCATAGCTCCGGGTATGACCCTTACAGGTCTTATCCTGGAAGTCAAAGTTGCCTCTGCAAACCATCATGCGCCTGCTGCAGGTGCTGGTTCCCCAGGTAGAGAAGATCTGCATTGACAAGTGAGTCCAGGAGGCGGGCGGGTAGGTGGCCCTGGAGATGGGCTGGCCCAGGCTTGGGGTAGGTGTGATGGGGAGCCCACACCTTGGGGCGCCAGGGTGAGGCCCCCTGAGCTTGATTAGGGGCCCTTTCTCCTTCTCTAGGGGCCTGACAGATGAGTCAGAGATTCTGAGGTTCTTGCAGCATGGTACCCTGGTGGGACTTCTGCCTGTACCCCACCCCATCCTCATCCGCAAATACCAAGCCAACTCAGGCACCGCCATGTGGTTCCGAACCTACATGTGGGGTGTCATCTACCTGAGGTGGGCCCTGCAAGGGATCCTGGGGTGGGTGGGTGGGTAGGTGGGGATGTCTAACTGAGACCCTGTCCATCTCAGCAGCCTTAGCTCTAGATGCCCCCATCGGTAGTGGGACTAATATCCAATCAATCTAGGTGGTCTCATCTGGTTGAGGGTGGGTTCCCATCACCCAGGGTGGGACATCAGAATGGGAGTTTGGTTGGCTCCATTGTTCTTTCTTGGAGCCCTTTCTACAAGTTCCCCTTTGTAGATGGTGACAGCCTACTCCCTCCACAGGAACGTGGACCCACCCATCTGGTACGACACTGATGTGAAGCTGTTTGAGATCCAGCGGGTGTGAGGGTGAAGACTGGCAGGGATAGGGCCAGGAAGGCTGGTTCTGGTCCCTGATGCCCAAACCCACTGTTCTGAGCTTTAAAGGCCCACCATAGGGCCTGGGGCAGGTAGAGTGGTTAGTCCTGGATGGAAGGTTCCAGAGGTCCATTGTGGCTGGGGACAATAGCTGTGGTTAGGGATAGCGGGGACCAGAAGTGCCCTCTACTCACCGGGCTGTTCTGGGAATCTCTTGTCTCCAGGGATATAGGCCCCACCAGAGTCCCCTGCCCACTCTGGCTCCCCCTTCAAGATTCGTTCCTATGCTGCCTACCCCCAGAAGCCACTGTGCCCTAATGGGTTTTCCCCAAGAAGGAGCCATAGACTGTCCCTTGGGGTACCTGGGCAGGGTGAAGGGAGTCCTCTCGACACCCAGCCTGAAACCACTTTCCAGATCCTCTCATTGCCGGGGCCCTTAGGGAAAGAGAGTGTGGCTGGACTGCTGGCCCAGAGGGCTAGGGGCTGGGGGCTGGCAGTTTATAAAGGACAGCCAGGGAGTACGTGTACTACAGGGGTTTGGGGTATTGAGGGTCTCCTGTTACTGTCCCTGGGCCAGTAGATATCGCCTGGCTAGTGGGAGCTGGTGGTGTCAGCCCTCCCTACCCCACTACCTGGGTGATAGGGGTGCCACCCTCCATCAGCCTGGCCTCTGGGTCTCCCTTGCCCCACCTGTGTCAGTACAATCTTTGCTCTGTACAATCAGACACTTTACATAATAAAACGTCCCTTTCAGCACTCTGCCTCTGTGCCTGGAGTTGGGGGGCGGGGTTCCAGTGTGGGGCTCTTATCTCCAGGACAGCTGGGGACTCTGTACCCCAGAGTCAGTCCCCTAAGGGCCCTTGCCCCATGACTGAGAACCAGCAGCTGTCATTTTTAGGGGGAGGGTGATACTGCAGGATTAGGCTCTGTCACCCTGGGGTTTGGCTGTGGCCACCCAGAGAAAAGCCCACACAGGAGAGCCCAAAGGCCTGACTCTAAGCCTTCTGCATGAATCTATAGCCAGGACTGAGGGCCTGGGTCATCATCTCTGGGCTTGCCAATGTGTGGCTTTATGAAAGCAGGAATTCCAGGGGGGAGGGGGCAGAGGCTCAGCTACAAGGAGAGGCCACGTTTTCTGGGCCTTGCCCTGGGCATGTTTGCTCTGGGCTTAGAGAGATGGATGAACTGTCAGTGCTGTCTGTTCACTTACCTTCCTGTCACACCCAGTGGCTCAGAGGACCAGGCAGGCCTGGGCACTGGGCAGGCAGAAACCACAGTGACCACCCATAGTTACCCAGTTGCAAAAAAAGCACCTGAGACTGTATTCTGAGAGGCAGTGCTGGCAAATGGTGGAGGTCAGGGCTTCACAGACCAGACCCATCTCTTCTTTGCTCTTTCCATGGATCAGACAGAGAATGACTGGTTTAGACCCCTCCTGGCTGAGGAACGGGACCATCTTGCTTGAGAGGTCTGTCCTTCCCATTACATCTGGAGTGGCAGTTCTTTTCCCAGGAACAAATGCCACAAAAGCCAAATGGAATCGATCAAACAAACAGGCTTTATGGCAGCAGGAGAAAGCTGTTGAGCCCTGCCTGGCAGCTAATTAATGAGCTCATTAGGAGACAGGGTGTGTGTAGGGGGAAGGGGCAGGGCTGCTGACAGAGTTTGGAGGCATGGATTCTGAACTTTCCAGGAGGCACTCTGAACCTCCAGGATGTCCAGGGCCAAGCTGGGACCATGCATGCCCCCTACAGCAGGAGTCAGCCCCTCTCTAGCCTCCAGACTCTGTGATTTCATACCGATTGGCACAGAGAGTAGCCCTTGCCAGTCTCCTGGGTTGTGCCTTTGGCTGTGCTGGCTGTAGTGATGTGGTTCATTGTAGGCTTGTGCCTGCATCTGCCTGTTGGTGTCTGAAGCTCAGTTTCCAAGCCCTGGCCTTGGCCTTTTTTTAAAAAAAATTATTATTTATATTTTATGTGTATGCGTGTATTGCCTGCATGTGGGTTAAGTGCACTGTGTCATGCAATGCCCCCAGAAGACAGAAGAGGCTGTCGGATCCCCTGGCACTGGAGTTACGGACAGTTCTTAGCTGCCATGTGGGCGCTGGGATTGGAACCCGGGTCTTCTGCAAGAACAGCCAGTGTTCTTAACTGCTGAGCCATCTCTTCAGCCCTGACCTTGTCTTTTTAAAGAAATAATTTATTTTTATTTTGTACGTGTGTTTTGCCTGCATATATGTAAGTGTACCGTGTGTGCAATGCCTGGGAGGCCAGAAGGGTGTCAGATCCCCTGGAACTGGAGTTAATTAGCTGCCATGTGGGTTCTGCTGCCCTTGGTCTTGAGCTCCAGGCAGTACCCTCTCCTTTCAGTCAGGCTGAGGGAAGGTAGCTTTGGGAGCCCCAGGCAGGTTTCTGCTCTTCTTGACATGATGTATCTGCTCAGGTACTCCAGGCTTCCTTCTCGGCCTTGACACTTTGGGAGTTGTGTTGTGGTTGGGTTCCCTGCACTCAGGCCACCAGGTAGACCTCCACCAGCCCCCCAACAGAGTGCATGCGGTAGAAGACCCCTAGAGGCAGGCCAAAGTTGACGATGGTAAACCAGGTTCGGTAGCCATAGAAATCCCTTTCCAGCCCGTTCTCAAACTCTGGGTGTATGCCAAATGCGGGCATCATCCACAGCTGGAAGGAGAGAGGAGGCTGCTGAGTAAGGGAGGCACTATCCTGCATCCCAAGATGTTCGGCTTAGGAGAGGCAGACCCAGAACCTGCAGTTCCTTCAGCGTTGACCCCACTCCACCATCCTTAGGCTTTGAGAGCAACTTCTTCCCCATTTCCAGTGTCTTCCACACCCCTGCCACAGAGGACTTTGGATACCTTCTTGACTAGTCTGAAGCCAGGCTCAGCCCCAGATGGATCACAGCCCTCCCCTGTCCCTAGCTGCTCCCACAGGGCAGGAACTTCCAGCCAGCAACCCATGCTACCAAGCTGGGCTGCTGTGCCCTGAACTCAGGCCTTACTGTATTTGTTTGTTCCAATCACCTCTGTTCCCTTGTGCCTTCTTATGCCAATCCTGCCCATTCCTCAAGACCCAGATCAACCTTCCTGAAGCCTGCACTGGTCTACACATCTTCCTCTGAGCTCTGATGAAGTTTAGAGCCAATTTACTGACTCTTCTCTGCCTGGACTAGAAGTTTCACATCTGGAATGTATTTTCAGTGTTTTTAGGGGTTCGGGGTCAAAACCCCTGTGTTCTCCCAGATTGCCATTTACAGGCTGTAGGGTCTTAGACTGACCAACCTAAGAGCTGCCTGAGAGGGGACAGTAATTGTTCCTGTTGTATGGAGATACTGTGAGGATTCGAGGCGGTATGGGGATATATTGTATGGACAGGTGGGCCTGTGACTAATTGGAAAGAGGCAAGTAACTTTGATCCATCCCTTCCTGGCTGGCACACCCCACCCCTGTGCCCTGTCAGTCCCTGCCCAACCACTCACTGTGATATTGCAGAGGATGAGGAAGAGAGAGATCTCCTTGAGCATCCTCCGCTTCCAGTTGAGATGACTGTAGGAGTGGATATAGGCCCTGGAAGCCCGCCGCAGGTCCTGGCCCAGCTCCAGCAGGGAGCCCCTGCGATACAGCTCAGCCTCCTGCTTCCCCACTGTGTCCTCAGGCGTGGGTTCCCAGAGTGGGCGGCGGTGCAGTCCCTCGATGATGAAGAGGTTCTGGGTGATATGCTGCAGGATGAGCAGCAGTGAGTAGGCCAGAATGAGCTGGTTGAGTAGCTCGTGGGGCCGAGTGGCCACGATGGCCACTATGGAGAAGTAGGCAATTCCCATCTGACCCAGTGCAGCGCCCATCAGCAGCACCACATCCAGGCTTCGGGTGGGGTTCTTGAGCGTGTCCAGTTCTCTCTCCTCCAGCCCATGGATGGCCGTGCCTGCCAGGCATGCCAGGCTCATAGTGGGCAGGATGGCCACGTAGAAAGCATAGTAGAGGGTAAAGTACTGGCGGCCGATGTCAGGGCCACTTGCCTCGATCTGGAAGAGCACGAAGACGCACACACCACCCACCAGCGCCAGCAGGCCCAGCAGTGGCCCGAAGATGGCCCCGTGCAGGCGGAAGGGTGGTCTGTTGGGGTGGACACCTGAGTGGGCTACCAAGCGGCGGCCCACATTCTTCCACATGACAAAGAGAACTGCACAGCAGATGAGGCAGTATTCAGTGCTGAAGGGGTAGAGCATCAAGTAGCCCTTCCGGAAGACCTCGCACACAGTGGCATTGAGGCATAGGCAGGTGTTGGTCTCGTTACCTGGGGGGTGGGGGGAAGGGCAGCAGGAAGAGATAGTAGATCAAGTCCTGCTCTGAGGAACCTAGCAGCAACAACCACTCTCACCCCTATCCTAGATACGCTGGAATCGGAAGGAACCCCCCCATCCCTCCGGTGGCTCTTTTGACAGATGTGGGAACATCTGAGGCCAAGACAGAAATTGGAAATCACAAAATGATCAGTCTTTTACAAAGGGATTCAGGTGCCAAGCTTATATAATGTATTGAAAGCATGCTGTCCCCACAAACTGCTTGCTGGGCCAGGTAAACCCATAATTTGCAATAAGAGATCTGGCTGCTGCACTTGGATGCAGTCAGCAGCCTCAGCAGCATACACTGGGCTAATCAGAAGTCAGCTCCTCAAGATGAAGGTTTTTTCATTTAAAGGCTCTGTGGTAGAGCACTTGCTTAGCATAAGGTCCTGAGTTTGAGCCCCAACACTGCAAAACAAACACACACTTAGCCAAACTGGGCATAATGGCTCATAGCACTATACTCCCAGCACTTGGGAAGCTTGAGACAAGGGGATCTGGAATTCAAGATCACCTTAAGCTATACAGTCAGTTTGAGACCAGCTTGGGCTACATGTATGTAAGTGTACCATGTGCATACAATGCCCATGGAAGCCAGAAAAAGGAGTTGGATCCCCTGGAACTGGCGTTATGGAGAGTTGTGAGCTGCCATGTAGGTACTGGGAACTGAACCTGGGTCCTCCACAAGGGTAGCCAGTGTTCTTAACTGCTGAGGCATTTTTCCAGCACAAGCTGCTTTTCACATGGTGTTACTGGGACATGTAGGTACCCAAAATGCTTGACCTGAATCTAAGTAAGATGCCAGGGTACACGTCCAGATTCTAGGAAGAGCAGGGGAGAGGGAACAAGTTAAATGCTACCATGAGGAAGCAACTGACAAGCCTTAGGGTCATTAGGAAAAAGGAGACCAAGGATCTTAGCCAGAGTGCCAGGCAGCACACTTGGAATCCCAGAACTTGGGAGACTGAGGCAGGAGGATCACAAGTTTGATGCCAGCCTGAGCTACATAATTGGACTCAGTCTCTCGAATAAACAAGAGCTGAGCTGGGTATTGGGATGCATGCCTTTAATCCTAGTATTTGGGAGCCAGAGGCAGCCAGATCTCTGTGAGTTCCAGGCTAGCCAGGGCCACATAGTGAGACCCTGTCTCAAAAAACCAAAAACTAAAACCAAACAAACAAAAAAGACACTGTCTTTGAAAAACAAAAAAAATGCAGAAGAACTGGGGATGTAGCTCTATGGTAGAGCACTTGCTTAGTATAGGGCCCTGAGTCTGAGCTCCAACACAGCAAAAAACCAAAAACAAACACTTAGTCAAATTGGGTATAGTAGCTCTTGCCTATAATCTCACACTTGGGAAATGGTGGCAGGAGGATCAAGAATTCAAGGTCATCCTAGGCTACACAGTGAGTTTTGAGACCAGCCTGGGCTACATGAAACCTTGTCTCAAAAAAAAAAAAAAAGCAAACAAAAAGAAATAGAACCAGTCTATCATTTATAGTAAAAAATAAAAGGGAGGGGCACTTCTGGGAAAAAAAAAAAACTTAACCAAATATATTGTGTATTTGTTTTGTATTTGTGCGTGTGCATGTGTGTGTAGTATATACATGTGTGCACAGGTGTCCTTGCCTATGAACATGCATGTGTGGAGGCCAGAGGCGGATGCTGAGATGTCTTCCTCAATCACATCTCACCCTATGTTTTTGAGACAGGTTTCTCAATGAACCTGGATCTCACCATTTTGGCTAGACTGGCTGATGGACAAGTCCCCAGGATCTCCATGTCCCATTCCCCAGGGCTTCAGTTACAAATACACACCTGGGCTTGATTTTGTTTGTTTGTTTGTTTGTTTTTTGGTCTTACTGAAAAGGGTCTCCCAGGGTAGCCACAGCTGGCCTGGAACTCACTATCTAGATCAGGCTGGTCTTGAACTCACAGAGATCAGCTTGCCTCTGCCTCCTGAGTGCTGGGATTAAAGGTGTGGGTCACCACACCCAGCTTCTCCTTCTTCTTTTTTTTTTTTAATCATTGGCTGCTTGGGATTCAAACTCAGTCCTCATGCTTCATGTCAGGAGCTTTGCCCACTGAGCATCTCCCCACCACCTATGCGCTGTTTTAACCAGCCTTCTGAAAAAATAACAAACAAAAAATTTTCTGGGCTAATTGGAGAAAGTAGAGATTGATTTGGAGGTTTGCCGTGATCTTAAGCAATTTTGTTAGCAACTATAGCAGTGTGTGATAATGAAGGGAATACATTTATTTATTTATTTTTATTTTATGTGTATAAGTGAATTGTCTGTGTGTGTGTAAGTGCACCCGTGTCATGCAATGCCTGCGGAGGTCAGAAGAAGGCGTTGGATTCCCCTGGAACTGGAGTTATGCATGGTTGTTAGCTGCCACATGTGTGATGGGAATTGAACCCAGGTCCTCTGTAAGAGCAGTCAGTGCTCTTAACTGGTGAGCCATCTCTCCAGCCCCGGGAATACATAGAATACATTTATTTTTAAAGAGATGATTCCTGAAATGTTTTGAAATAAAATGCCATCATTTCTGTAATTTATTTTCAGTACTGTGGTTAAAAAAAAGTATTAAGACAAGTGTGGCAAAATGCTAATTATTGCACTGTGGAGATGACTGTGTCCTGTTGTGAGCTTCCACAGCCTTTATTTTTTTATTTTGACATAGGGTCTCACTAAGTTTCCCAGACTGGCTTTGAACTCACTCTGTAGCCCAGGCAGTCCTTGAACTTGTGATCCTCCTGCCTCAAACTCCTCAGTAGCTGAGACTACAGGTCTGTGCCACTAGGCCCAGCTGATGGATGTCCCATTCTTCAACTCATCTGTATGTTTGGGTTGATTTATTTATTTATTTATTTATTTTGGTTTTCTGAGACAGGGTCTCCCCATAGTGGGGCTGGTTTGGAACTCACTATGTAGACCAGGCTGGCCTTGAACTCACAAAGATTCGCCTGCCTCTGCCTCCCAAGTGTTGGGATTAGAGGTGTGTGCCATCACACCTGGCAGGGTTGATTTTTTTTTTTTAATTAAGGTGTTTGGGGCTGGAAAGATGCCTCAGAGGTTAAGAGCACTCTTGCAGGGGGCCTGGGTTGAGTACACACCATCCACATGGTGGTTAACAATGGTCTGTAACTCCAGTAGGGGATTCAATGCCCTCTTCTGACCTCTGTGGGCACTGCATGACATGGATGCACTTGCACACATAAAATACATACACATAATAGTAATAAATAAAATTATTATTTTTGTCTTTTTGAAGCAGGGTCTCCCTGTAGCCCCAGCTGTCCTGAAACTCACTATGTAGACCAGGCTGGCCTTGAACTCCCAGAGATCTGCCTGCCTCTGCCTCCTAAGTGCTGGGACCACAGGCATGCACCACCATGCCTGGCATAAATAAAATATTTTTAAAAGTGAAAATGTTTAGAATGAATTAATGGTGTGTGTGTGTGTGTGTGTGTGTGTGTGTGTGTGGAGATCAGACAACTACTTTTGGAGTGTTTCTCTCCTTCTACCGTGGATTCTGGGAACCAGTTGCCGGGCTTGCGTGGCGAGTGCCTTTTCCCACTGAGCCATCTCACCTGCCCTTTTTTTTGCCTTGTTTTTTGGGGTCTTTTTTGTTATTTTGTCTTTTTTTTTTTTGGACCTGAGGACTGAACCCAGGGCCTGTACTTGCTAGGCAAGCGCTCTACCACTGAGCTAAATTCCCAAACCCTCACCTGCCCTTTTTTAAAACAGTAATAAAACATTGGAGCTGTGGATATAGCTTAGTGGGAGAGTGCTTGTACCTTAGCACACACACACACGCACACACACACACACAAATCTTCATGATGTCACTTAATCAAACCTCTCTTTGTAGCTTTTGTGCAAAGTGTAAAGTGTAAGCAGAGTAAAGGAACAACTCAGCACACGGGTGTGCTGTGATTCATGTCCTGGGTGTGTGAGAGCTGGTGCACATGGGTCATGATGCAACTTGTGGGCGGGGTGGGGTTGGGGCAGACATACAGGTGTGGCTGAATCCCACAGACTGCAAGCTTCTTCTATGGATTTATGGGATGTTGCTTCAAGACAGACTGTACAGGCTGAGGATTATAATGGGAAAATCCAGGGAGAATTTTCTGACCACAAGTCTCCTCTTCCTCCTGATATGTTTCGGTATTAAAATTGCATTACAGAAGCATTCCTTTTAGCCCCAAAGGATTTCTAGCCTCTTATAAGTAAAATGCAAATACCATGGGTGGGGTGCATTCCTGAAAGACTTCCCAGTGACCTAGGCAGCCAGGATTCATGGCTGGCCTGCTGGCAGCCACATGGCTGCTGGGAGTAAGGCGTCAGACATCAGTCCCTGATGGAGTATGAAGGGGATGATTGGAACATTGAACTTTGTGTGTGTGTGTGTTTGTGTGCACATGCAGTGTGAACCATGTGTTTAGAGGCCAAAGAACAGCCTCAGGTGTTGTGTCTCAGTTTTCTGCCCTTCCTTCTTTCCGTCTTTTCTTCCTTCCGTCTTTCTAATGTTTGGTTTGTTTGTTTTGAGACAAGGTCTCCCTGTAGCCCCAGCTGGCCTGAAACTCGATATGTAGACCAGGCTGGCCTTGATCTCATAGATATCTGCCTACCTCTGCCTCCCAAGTGTTGGGATTAAAGGTCTACACCACTGTGCCCAGCTCTTTTTTTCTTTTTATTAAAAATATTTTATTTTTTAAAATAAATAAAAAGTACTCAGTGGTTAGGAGCACTGACTGCTCCTGCAGAGGACCCGGGTTCGAGTCCCAGCACCCACATGGCAGCTATGAACCATCCTTAACTCCAGTTCCAGGGGACTCCAACACCCTCTTCTGACCCCCGCGGCATTGCAGGACATGGGTACACTCACGTACACACAGGCAATACACTCATACACATAAAATAAAAATTATTAAAATATATTAAAAACATTTTTTATTGAGCCAGGCATGGTGGCTCATGCCTTTAATCCCAGCAGTTGGGAGGCAGAGGAAGGTGGATCTCTGTGAGTTCAAGGCCAGCCTGGTCTACGTAGTGAATTCCAGGCCAGTTGGGACTATAGGCAGACCCTGTTTCAAAAAAAAAAAAAATTTTTATCTATTATTTTTTATTTTATGTGTATAAATGTATTGCCTGCATGTGCACCAGTGTTGTACAATACTCATGGAGGTCAGAAGAAGGTGTCAGATCCTCTGGAAATGGAGTTATGAACAGTTGTCAGCTGCCATGTGGATGCTGGGAATTGAACCTGGGTCCTCTGTAACAGATAGTTGTGAGCCACCATGTGGGTGCTGGGAACTAAACCCAGGTCCTCTACAAGAGTAGCAAGTATTCTTAACTTTGGAGCTATCTCTCCAGCCCTTCCACCTTGTTTTTTGAGACAGTTTCTCACTGGCCTGGAACTCACCAATTAGGCTAGGCTGACTAGGCAGTGAGCCCCAGGGATTCACCTGTCTCTGCCTCTCTAGTGCAGGGATTACAAGAACGTGCCATCATGCCTGACTTTCTTATATCGGCTCCTGGGGATCAAACTTGGGTCCTTGTGCTTGTGTGGCAAGCACTTTACTGAAAGAACCATCTCCACAGTTCCACTGTTTAACAAAGATCTGGCCTTCACTTGGCTCCCAACTCTATAATTCTGTGTGTCTCCTTGGTTTGAGGGAATGTGTGATGGGGGAAGGTCTTGTACCCTCTGTACCTGAGAATTTCTCCACGAGGGCGTTGAGCTCAGCCTCGATCTCACGGTGCATGGAGTCATTGGTCACAGCCAAAACCCATAGCAGCAGGTTTGTGGCCAGGGTCAGCATGAGGCCACACCTGGAGGAAGGGTCATACAGTGCTCACACAGCCTGACTGGCTCCCAGGGTCCCGATTCTCACCATCCACCGCCCACTGGGATGACCACTCAGTCCCAGAGCCAGATCTCATGTGGCCTTAGGAGTCTAGGGGTCCTAGGAGTTATCTGGGATGCATCCCATATTAACCTACAACTGCAGGCCCCCTGTCTTGGGAAACCGGGGTGGTGGTAAAAAGAGTGCCAGGAGGCACCAGAGGGAGGGAAACCTTACCTGGTAAAGTTGGTCTGCACCTGAATGCAGTCCTTACAGTGTTTGCAAAGCACCCAGGTCTGAAAGAGATAGGGTCTTGAGCCTGGGGGCTGATGGGAGTGGTGGAGCTGTGGTGCATAAACCTCAGTCACTTGTGTGGATTTGCAATGGAAGACCAAGTAAAGAAGCCTGGATTGGAATCCTGGCTCTGCCACTTCCTTGTTGTGTGGTATTGGGTCAGTGGTAAAACATCTCAGCTCTTTAGCTGGCTCAGCTGTGAAAAAGAGCTGCTTGGGGGCAGGGAGGTCATACCTACTCGAGGGGAGAAGTGAAGGTGGTGTAAACATGGCATAAGACCTGGCACGCGGTAGAGACTCAACAGAGAGAGAAGTATAGCTAGCTCTCGGGGGTAGTGTTTGGGTGTATGCAGGTGCATATAGGCAGATGTATTTATAGGTGTCTACATTTGGGAGACAGGCATGTGGAGATGCATGTGTGTGGATGTGGATGTGGTGTGTGTATACACTCTTGGGCAATTGCTTATGTGACTGGTTTTGGTATAGGTTGGGTAATGTGAGAGGCTCATTACCTGGACACTCATGAACACAATTTCGATGGCTGGGAAGACAAGTTCCACTTCTGACTTGCAGTGGCTGTGGCTCACGTCATAGCCAATGCGGAACACATTCAGGCAGATGGTACAGCTGCCGAAGAGCACCAGGGAGCCTGGTAGGGCCGGGATGGGTATGTGGGCATAGACACCTGCTCCTGAGCTGGATATCCCTCCCCAGGCCTCTCCATCCACCCAGCACCCAAAACTCACCCCGCACCCAAATGGGTCCAGCATGAGGGTCACGGTACAGCACTGCATGGGGCCGCCGTGTGGTGCCCGCCACATAGTACAGGAGCCAGAACAGGGAGAGAGCTTTCAGGGCGGCCAGCAGGATCCACACGTCACCCAGAGTGACAGCCACATTGTTGAAGATCGTGCTGCAGATGAAGGCCCCACCCAGGAACACCACATTGAGTGCCAGGAGCCCTGAGAAGAGTTGCCCCGCCTTCTGGGCCTGCCGGTCTCGCCTAAGCAGCATGGAGAAATGCTGACCCAGCCAGGACTTCCGCTTGGGTGGGCAGGGGAGCCCTGTGTGCTCCGTTCCAATGTCCGCTCGCAACACATAGGCAGGAGCTGCTTCTGTTGCCTGTGTTTCTGGAGAAGGTGTGGGCACAGCCTCAGCAGGAGCTGGAGAGGGAGAGAGAATTAAAAGGTTGGCTGCCAAGTGGACTTGGCTTGGATTCCATCCTTGCCCCTAACTGCTGTGTGATGAGGGCTTGCTATGCGACCTTTCTGATTAGGACATTGGAGCTTCCCCATCTACCCTACAGAACCCAAGGAGATGGAAACAGACCAGGATACATGGAAGATGTTCATGCTGCTCGTGAATACAAGAGATTATTTTGACTGGATTGAGGACCACCTCTCCCTCCTCCCACATGACTGGGCCACTCCACTTCTCAACTCTGTGCCTGTGCCTGAAGTGGGTTAATGAAGTCCATCCAGGCAGTTAGGGCATCTGCATACTGCCCTGCCACTGGGCAATTTCCAGAGTGGAAAAGACTGGTTGATTTATAATGTCTGCCATATGCATGAGATAGGTCATGATCGGCATGAATTCCATGCCCTTAACTTTGACTGCACTAACATCTGTTTGCCCCAACTCCATACCTAGCTGGCCCATGGATGCCTAGCATAACCCGGGGACACTACCTTTGACTCTCCTCTTTCCATAAATGTCTCTTGCCACTTCCTCACTCATCCCAACCTTTCACTTAGGCCAACCACTGTCACCACTTGCTTTGGTTGAATATCGGACCACCCAATGTTTGCAGCTCCAAGTCTAGCATACTGCCCCTCTGGGACACTTTGGGTGCTCCTTCTTCTCAGTAGGTCTGAGCTACAGCAAGGTGGGGTTCCATTGCTTATGTGTGCTCCCCTGCTCAGATGACCCAGGAGTTCCCAGAATGCCCTTGCTACCCAGGCATTCTGAGTGCATACTGCCCCCTCTATAACATTCTGATGCTCATTAGCTCAGGGAATGTTTCTTTTTCTTTTTTGTTTTTTTTTGAGACAGAGTCTTCCTGTAGTGCCAGCTGGCCTGGAACTCACTATGTAGACCAGGATGGCTTTGAACTCACAGCAAGTGCTGGGATTAAAGGTGTGTGCCACCATGCCTGGCAAGCTCAGGGAATGTTTCTGTGTCTATGTCTCCTGGCACAAAACTGGGCTTCATTTTTCCTTCTCTTTGAGCTGTGTATCCTTCCAGACCCCAAGCCTAACCATTCCACACTGCTTTTAATCTCTCCCCCTTCCTCCTTTCCTCCCTCTCTCCCTCCTCTTCCTCTCCTTGGTCTTGCTCTGTAGCCCAGGCTGGCCTTGAACTATCAATTTTCCTGCCTCTGCTTTCTGAGTACTGCAATTACAGATGTGCACCACCATACCTGCCTGGCTTCTTAGATTTTTTTTCCCCCACCTCTACTAATACCCTGGAGCCCCTCTGATCTTGCCTGTTTTGGTCTCTCTGTCCATGATGACTGTTCCCCATGCAGAGTCCTGCAAAGACATCCATTGCCCTCAATATAAAGTCCAAGGCTTGTGAGGCCTTTCCAAGTGAAACAAGACAGCATGTGTTGGCTGCGTGCACACAGTGCTCAAGGCAGGGTGGCTGCTGCTGTTGCTTCCGGGCCTGGCCTCCACTTACCTCCTCCCAGCATGGCCTCAGGCCCCAGTGCCTTCCCTGTGGGCTGTAGCATCCTACTGCAGTTCAGAGTGCCCTCTACTCTTGCTCACCTCCCTGTCTTTGCCCACATCCCAACCTTTGCCTACAGTGTCTACCCCTCTTCGTACTTCTGGACTCATCTCTGCTAGGTGGCCTTCGCTGATCCCTCCATCCAGGATGAGGGTTCTTTCTTGCCTCTTCTGATGATTGTATCATCCAGCATGCTTTAGTTTCATTAGCTGTGCTTTGCTCTACCCCTCAAGACTCCATCAGGACCTCACCAGGAGACCCTCATCACACTGGTCCTAACTGCAGCCTCTCTGGGCCCCACGTACACCCTGAGTAATGCTGATCCCTTCTGTTGTTCTCTCCTAGAACAAGCTGAGAACCCAAACTTGGGTCCCTTTTTTAAGGTTTTGTAAGTGAGTTTCTCCCTTTGCCCAGTCTATGCTGTCACTATTGGATCAATTCTACCCTCTTTCCTGTCCAGCTCCTCTGACTACACTCTGGCCACCTGTTCCCCGTGTCCATTCAAACCCAGGTAGAGGACTCCATGCTTCACTTGTGGTCTCCTGCCTCTCCCAGCTCTCTCAGAGCCAGCCGTTCCTTCTGCTTCACCTGCCAGTTCCCACCTAGCCTCTTAACAGGGAAGCCCTCTTTCTGCCCAAGCAGATGTGTGGTTACCTTGCTGAATGGCTCCTCTCTGTAGAGCATGAGTGTACACCATCAGGCATGCTGTGGTGTGGTGGGCTCCCCTTGAGGTCTGGGGCTCCTCCAGGGCAGAGACCAACTCCTGTTTGACTCACATTTCCAAACCTAGTACAGTCTTTACACTCACCCAATGTTTGCCAGAAGTCTGGCAGTTTCTGGAAAAAATTTCAGCACTACAGCTGTGGACAGAGACCCTGCCCGTTAACCCTTTCCATCCTGGAGCCAGGACGCTTTTCAGATGGTTGTCTTTCCCTCTCAGGCTCTGACACCCAGGTTGAGCAAGGTGAGGCTCCTGGGGACACCTCCCTGCTCCCTTTCTGCAAGCCCTGGTGGCTCCACCTCACCTTTCCCACAACTCACCCTTTCCCCACCTCCTACAATCAAGAGCCCAGATAGTATTTAACACCTTTGTGATTGGACAACCTGCTTAGGTTCTGTTCCTCAGTATCCTCACCTGTGAAATGAATGTACAATGATGGAACAGCAATGCCTAGTGTTCAATCTGCCCCCCACCCCCAGGGCCTTGTGTATCCTAGGCAAGCACCACTGAGCTGAGCTACATCTGCAGTCCAACAAGTTCTGGAATAAAGAAGGAATTACTGCATGATACCTACGTCAGGATTTTTATCAGAATTTAGTGATCTGATACACCAAACATGCTGATCAGTGCCTGGCTAGTTATCTGCAGATTTCTCTACAGTGCTTTCCAGATCTTAGAGAGATCTGGAGGGCTGAGGTTATTCAGAGCTGATTTTCTGCTCAGACTGCAGGCCTGGGGGGCAGGGACCCTGGAGGTCACGTTCCAGGTCCTCTCCTTTTAGGGTTCCCCTCCTGGTTTGCCCCCTGCTCCACTCCCGTGGTTCAGCACTCCACCAGCGGTTAAAAGGGACTGTTAGGGGAGCAAACGTGGTTCACCTCCGGGCAGGGTGCTGGGATGAGCATCAATAGGGGTCCTGGATGAAGGATAGAATCAGTGTGCTTGGAACGGACAAGAACCTGGCCATCCCTTGGCACGCCTCTCGGCGCGACGCCAGTCCAAGGGAGGTCCCAGACACCAAACTGGTTTATGGGTCGCGCTCAGAGGCGGGCATGGAAAGCCGAAGAGCGGTCAGGGCGCGGCGCAGGGCCATGAGCGCAGGACCAGCTCGGGAGGAGGATGTCTGGCCCTGGCACAGAGGCTCCGAGATTTCCTTCCGAGCCACACAAGGGACTGCAGGGCCAGGGGCAACAAGTCTAGGCGGCCCCAACCCCATATATAACCAAATCCAGGTTCAGTCTTGGGCTTCCTCTTTCGATTGTGGGGATCGGTGAAGCCGGGGGGAAAAGAGGTGGGCGCAGAGCCAGAGTTGGGGTGAGGGAGCCAGACTCGGGTCACCCCAGTCACGCCACACTCTCTCCAATTCCTGCAGCCCCTAGTTGATGAACTCCTCGGATTTGGAGGAGTGAGTGTCCGGCTGGGCTTCCGGGGGAAGGTCCAGCCGGCTGTCCCAGGGTGCGCGGGGTCCCAGCTGGACCCTGGGAGTCTTACCTGACTTCTGCGCAGCCATCGCTGCCGGCTCACCACCGACTGGGGCGCAGCGCGGATCCTCGGTGCAAGTGAGGTCCCAGGTGCGCTGGGGCCGACGCCCCCGACGCCCTTTCCCCCGCCGGACTACGCAGCCGCCGCTCGGGCTCCGCGGCCCATCGATTTTTCTGTTGACTTTGGGAATCTCATTAATCCCTCGTTAATTACCCCGCCGGGGGCTCGGGCGCAGACCCAGCAGCCAATGCCGAGGCGACTGGGCGGGGCGAGGGGCGGGGCCCGCTCCAGGCCTCTGGGTCCAGGTTGGGGCAGCCAGGTCGGTGGCTAGCAGCCGCCCTCGTGGTGGTTGGAGTGGGGTGCATGGTCCTCTGGCTGGCAGGAGAGAGCTTGCAGGGTTCAGGACATTCTAGCTTGTGGCAGCCAAGCTGGGAGTAAGGGGACCCTCTCCTTCCCAAGTCAGGGTCGCCTATTTCATATATATATAT